CCTTAGTGATGAAGTAGTAAATGCTAAAGCTATTAAATCTCAACCCTTGAGTGCAGTATGCCATGAAATGAGAAGAGCACACACTCTATGCTGTGGGTTTGGAGGGTGTTGGTATGCAGGTGTTGGTATGTTGGTATGTTTAGTTGGGGAGGTGTGGAGTTTGCTATGTCCGGTGAGCATCCCAATGGAGATGTCCAATGAGCTGATGGATACCCACATCTGGAGCTCATGACAGATATGGGCTAGAGGAAAGCATCTGAGGCCCGGCCAGAGACGCCTAGAGGAACAGAGTCTGGTTCACAGTCACTCCTGGTGTCTCAGGTATCCTCTGCTCAGCCCACACCCTCTCTTCCACACTGGGCCATCTATAAAGCCTCCACCGATACCGCTGGAGACACGCACTGAACACAGGCCCTCAGGGCCCCGGAGCGAGGAGCTATTTGTGGACTTGCCACAGCTGTTCCCACATGCCCCCTGCTGCCTCCCACTTCTTTCCCCACAGCCTGGCCAGATATGGTAGTGTCACTGGTGGAATCTTTCTTGCAATTCTTTTCTTGCCACTTAACAGTGGCAGTGGCACTCTGCCTCCAGCCTGATTCTGCTGAACTTTTTCCCTTGACTTTGGCATTTTCACTTTGAGATGTTTTCTGAGAGCTGGGGGTGGGGACCCCAGCTCCAGGTGGTGACGTTGAGGGCCGGCCCAGGCCTAGGGTGTGGAGGAGCCTCCCCATTGGGCTTCCTGTCTCTTCATTTAAGCTCGACTCTGCAGAAGAAACAAAGCACCCTTCCCATTGGGCTCCTGGCTGCAGAACTCCAAGTCCTCACACAGAGACACCTTTTTGAGAAGCAGAGGGCAAGAAAGACGCAAGGCCAGAGGTAAGATGGTCAGACTCGGCTTCTTTCCCTGGAGCTGGGAGGGAGGAGAATGTGGGGCAGATGCATAGGAATGTGCTCTGCCCAGATGTCTGCCCACCTTCTCTTGCATTTCTCTTGGAATGGGTCATGAGCAGCGATCTTCCACTAGAACTGCGAGCTTCAGACGTAAGGGGCTGTGCCAGACTCCTCTCTGCAGTCCCGGTGTGCACCGCTCAGGGCCGAGCAGTGGGTGCTCCTCAGAGGAGTATTGACCTCACTGGCAAGATCAGAGAGACGGTGAGGGCTGGAGACTATCCCAGGCTGGGAAAGGTGTGGGAGGTAACTAGTCGCGTGCAGCGGAGGAGAGAAGACTGGAAGAGGGGAAAAGAGGAGAAAAGGAGTTAAGGGGGGGAGGGAAACATTAGAAAGAATAAATGTAAGATGGGAGGAAACCCATAAAAAAGAAATGATGAAGAAAAACAATAAAAGCAAGGAAAAGAGAAAAAGAAGCGGAAGCTAGTCTAGAGAAAATTCTTGCAAAATCAATTTTCCTAATGGCGCAATCTCCAAAGATTTACACGAAATATCATACGTGCAGCATTTCATAAGTCACGTGATCGATGTAATAGTCTCTTTTAACTACCTTTTGTGCTGACGTGCGTATTTTTAAATTTTTGTCTACTTTTTTGCTCTTTTAAGAATTTTGGGCCGGGCGCGGTGGCTCAAGCCTGTAATCCCAGCACTTTGGGAGGCCGAGGAGGGTGGATCACGAGGTCGGGAGATCGAGACCATCCTGGTCAACATGGTGAAACCCCGTCTCTACTAAAACTACAAAAAAATCAGCTGGGCATGGTGGCGCGTGCCTGTAATCCCAGCTACTCAGGAGGCTGAGGCAGGAGAATTGCCTGAACCCAGGAGGCGGAGGTTGCGGTGAGCCGAGATCGCGCCA